TGTGCCAGCATCCTGCAGAGCCTTCCTTGCACAAGGATTTCTGAAATCTGCACTGTTAGCGTTTTCCCTGGGACATCTGTCTGCCTCCACCACTTAAAGTCCTCTCATTACAGCAGCTTACTGTGTGTAAACAGTCATCACTACCACTCTTTCATGCGCTCTTGATGGTACAGAAGCCATGGTATTGCCCCTCCCAAACACATGCACACACACACGGGTGCACATGTGTGCACACCTTGACCAGTCCCATGACCCCCAAAAAGTACATGTGGAAGCTCAAAACCTACCACTACCCCAAGTCAGCACAGCCCAGTGGACAGGCATACAGCTAAGGCCATCACACATCCGTGGAGCCCCTCCAAGCAGGGCCCTCTGCTGCCACGGGTTAGGGCCAACCCAATTCACTTCTGCCATCAAATCTCCCCCAGTCTGCAAACCAAACTCCAAGCAAACAAGGTAAAGCCCCTCCCTGCTCTGGATTCTACAAGAGGTTCCTGAAGCAACAGTGACAAACAGGCAGAGCCTGGACAAAGAGGTGGCAGCGGTCTGCAATGATGGACAGCCCTCATTCTCTGAGCACCGGCCCGTCTGGGCAGCCCACCACATGTGCCTGCTGAAAAGCAGATCGTGTAATGCAGGCTCTGAGTCTCCCATGTCACTTCAGTGTAATCAGTTTTAACCCAAATCTCTACATGTGCCAGGCGGCTACTATTCTCTGCAGCACAAGCCTGCAAGGAGATTCCTGGAATTTAACAATGCTGTTGGGTTAACTAGCCCTCCTGCAGGGAGCCGGGTGTGGAAACCATTAGGCCGGGAGCATTTGGGATTTGCGGGGACCCTCCCCGACTCATGGAGGACTTGAAGAAGCATTCACAGTCTCCCCAAATAACGTCTCAAAAGTGACAGAGTGCTTACTGCAGTCTCCCCAAATAACGTCTCAAAAGTGACAGAGTGCTTACTGAAGCTCACTCCAAGGACAATTAAAGACAGACACACCACTTCCCACTGGAACTTAAGACTTTCTAGGGGACAAGCCACTCAGTCTAATTAGGCTAAATTTTCCTGTAATTATTTCCTTCCCTTTGGCTTTTGATTTTTAGGTTCTTTCAGAAATAGAACCTAAAAAAAGCATACACACACAGAAATCCCAAAAGTGGCACAAACCACAGCAACACAATTCCTTATTTTTGAGACACTTAGAAGCTTTCTGAAAATTCCCAATATTGTTTAATGCCTCCTTGCCAGCTTTATTAATCTGACTTTTAAACAGATGGCACCCCAGACATATTGCATGACAACTGCACGTGCCAGCAGAGCTGTCCTGCTCTTACTTCCACCCTGGCGAGCTCCTCCACAAAACCAAATAAACACACACCAGAAGGAGGCGGGTACAAACCCGTCAGTTGCAGCCTAATTAAGGGGCTAGAGCTATTCTTGTTGGTTAGCTTTTTACTTCAAAACTCAAGAAGTCCACAGCACCCTTAGAGCCCTGAACATTTCCGTCAGAGCTCTGCAGTGAGCAACACAAAACCAAAGACCACAAGGGTCCCTGAGAAGCAATGCTTTCTAAACCAGTCCTTCTCGTCCAATTATCCTGCACACAAGTGCTCTTGGTCATGCAAACCTCTGACTTAACAAGCAAGGCTCCTCTGCAAAGCACAGTCTCCTGGTTACTTTGCTTGGAAACCTGTCATGGGGTCTACTTAGCAGTCACCAGCAGGGTCCCTAAAGAAGGAGATTATCTTAATGACAACTTTCTTTACCAGGAACAGACTCACAGCCATAAGGGCCCCCACCCCCGTGGGGCCTACTAGGCTAAACCTACAGCTTTGCAGCCCAGTCCTGCTCTCTGCTGGGTAACCAAAGATGCTGGGGTGGGGGTGGGGGGTCTCCGTTCCCTCTCCAGGCTGCCAGGGAATGAACCATATAAACACCAAAAGGCCGTTGACATCAGTAAACGGGGGATAACACTTTGTAGCCCACTTTCTTTTCCCAGACTACAATTTGGGGTCATGTAATTAGAGCTCTCCCAGGAAGAGTAGAGTAGACAAATATCCTGTACTTAGACTGGCCAGGGTTCTGCACATCAGGGAGGCCAAACCAAGCTTCACACCAGTTCCCATTTCAACCATCCTGATAACTTTGCACTTCCTGGCCTCCATGGAATGCATTTTGAAGGAGTGCCACTTCTCCAGCTGAGACTGCGCTTTAGAAATCCCCCTTTAAGGGATTAGTCCTCCCTACCCCTCAGTTTGTGGCCCTTCTGCATTTCTATCCCATTATGCTCAAGAAAAGCTTCCAAAGGAAAAAAGCAGCGTTAAACCCAGACTCTGCAAGGCTCAAGTGTCTTGGAGGTTAAACCCAGGCTAAACGTTCACAGGAAACAAGTAGTTCACTGCAAATCACATCATAACAGAGAGGGACATACAAACACCACCCCCACCCTCAACCTCTGTAAAAGCACATTTTTAAACCCATGTTGCTTTTTCACATGCAAAATAGTAAGCAGAATTGTTGTCAGTTTTCCAACTACGACAAGCTTTACTAATCAGAAGTTCAGCCCCACTGACTGAAGCTCCCTTGGCCACACACCACCGTTTTTATAAATACTTATTAGGGCAGCTCACACTGGATGTCACATGGGGTCAGTGGTGTTCATTCAGGATGGCATTCTTTATCAGGTAGATGCTAGGGTTAAACTTGCTCTTACTATTAAACACAAAAACATTTCAAACGTGTGTTTCTTCTTTGCTAGACAGCCATAATAAGAAAAACATGTGGCCTTACTACACATACAAACTTCTCTTTTTCCAGTCTTCTTATTCGAGATGTTCTCATTTACTTACTTCCAAATGGATCACAGTCCTTATTTGTTATGACCACATGATCATCACTGCAGGGATCTGGGCCAGAAGTAAACACTGCACTGTCAAAACGCGGGGAGAACCCCAAAACAGGAGAACCGCCCCAAGTCAGGTATTTGTCTCCTTAGGGAATAGGACCTTCAATACAATGCAGAATCAGAACTTCTAGGTCCTTTTAGAATACCCTGTTTATACTATGTTTTCATATAATAACTTATGTTTTGTGTATAAAATACACTCAAATTACAGGGATTCCTCTTCACAGCAGAAAAGATGCCAAACAGCCAGACCTCCTGTAATCCTGACACTGTATTCCTGTTTTGACTATGAATGACCATATTCTTTGGATTTTCAGTTAACCTGGCATTCCAGAAGGAAAAGAACTATAAACAGCTTTCCTACTCCCTGCCCTGCAGAGATTATTGTTACTTTACTGGAAAAAGAAAGTTCCCTCGACAATGTTCAAAAATTAACGAAAAATGACACTGGACTGCTTTGTTCCTCATAGATTTCCTAAATCGACTGCAAACGACGGCACTGTTTGAATTACTCCGCCTGAAACGCGAGCAACTTTCCGAGTTCAGTTCCAACCCTGCTTTGGGCACCAGGCGCCTCGCCCGCGCTCACCTCCTGCACCTCAAGCCCCGCCCCCGCACCGCCCCAGCCCGGCCGCTCCGCCAGCCGCGGGCAGGTCTGCAGGGCGGAGTCGGCAGCGCGCTCAACCGCCGCGCGACGGCCAGGCCAGCGCCGCGCTGAGCCCCTCCCCTCCCATAGCGCAGCACGCCGATCCCCAGCCTCTAACGCGGAGCGGGGTGCTTGTGGCGCGGGAAGTCCCCAGGATATTGCGAGCGTCCCGCCGACTGACCCAGGGTGTGCCAGTCTACTGACCACTGCACTCAGCACCCCGAGCGGTTTCTGCTATCAGGGACAGCAGCACAAATGCAAACGCCCTTCCCAAATCAAGCAACCAGAAATGTCTGACTTAATCAGCATCTGCTTAAAAACCCCGACGCCCCCCTAGGAAAGGTGGCCCAAGCACTCGTGCTTCGGCGGACAGGTACCCTGGAGCGCGCAGTTGGCAGCAAGATGCGGCTGGAGCTGAGTTCCCTTCCTACGCCTCCCCGAATTCTCATCTGCCTGCAGGAAAGGGGTGGGCGGCACTGAAACCCACTTACTTGTAAGGGAGCGGCTCATACATTTCTGGGGCTGAAGGTGAACCGCCCTAGCCTCCAAACCTCCCAACCTGGAGGCACCACCACCCTCCCCCACCCCGGCAGGGTGCCCGGAATCCGGCGGGCGGCCCTCTGGCCGGAGCTGACGCCGGGGTCGGGACCGTGTGGGCTAGCACCGCCCCTCGAGCACCCTAAGGCCGGTCCTCCAGGACCCTCTGAACCTCGCAGCAGTGCCTGCGCGCCTCAGGGTCCACACAGCCGAGCCCGCGCAGAGCCACGGAGGCAGCGTGTGCCTCTCGAGGAAAATGCCACCTGGGAGCCGGGCCAGCCCGTCCAGCTGTGCTCCTCGTCCCGGATCCCGAGTCTCAGAGTGCGGCCCGAAGGCAGCTGGGGCCCCAGCAGCCGAAAGGCCGCCGAAGAACCCCGACCCCAGGCACAGGAAGAGCCACTTCGGCCACCTCCAGGGGGTGGGGGAGGGGGAGGGGCCAACAAAAGGGAAGACGAGGCCCCTTTCAACCGAGTGGCGGGGGTTCCCGAATCCCCTTTCTTGGCCTCACCCGGCCGCGGCGCGCGCCTCGGGCCGGGGTTGTGGGGGTGGGGAGGGAGGGAGATTTCAGCGCAGACCGGGGCCCCGGGGGCCGTGAGCCCAGGAAGGGTAACCTCGGGGAGGAAGGCCGAGTCCAGGTCCTGAGAACCTCGGACACGTCTGGGGGCCCGGGGCCGGCCGTTTTCAAGCTCACGGCCCGCAAACCCGCCAGCGCCGCCCGCCCGGCCTCTGGAAACAGCCGTCCCCAGAGCCCGCTTTCTTGGAAGCAGCCTGGGGCGGCAGAGCGCGGGACATTGGCGGGCGCCCCTAGCTCGGGGACCGGGGCGCCGGCAGGGCGGCCCAGGGCCCAACCACGGAGGAGGGGACGGACGCGCAAGCCTTGAGCCTCCGCCAGCGCACAGAGGCGTTGGGTTCTACCTGAGGTCCGGAGCGCGCAGATCAGGAGCGCTGCGGCCGCCCAGACGGCCGGGGCGCACAGCCGCTGCAGCGCCACCATGGCCCGGGGCGCGGGGCCGGCGGGGCCGGACGCCACCACCCCTTTCCGCCGCGGTTCCGCTGCCCTTTCTCCGGGTCACTCCGCAAGTTGGTCCTTTCGAGGAACTCGTGGCCCTCCTCCTCTGGCGGCCCGGTGCGCCGCTCAGCTCCGGCCAGGCGCGGGCTCGCCAGCCGCCGGGACGAGCGTGAGGGGCGGACCGCGGGAGCGCGGGAGGCAGGGTCCCGGGCTCGCCCGCCCCGATGGGCAGAGAGGCCCGCGCCGGCGCCCCCTGCCGGAGGGCTGCGCCTGCGGCGGGCGGAGCTCACGGGGAGCTGGGGGGGCTGGACCGGGGACCACCGCTCGGTCCCCGAAGTGCCTTCCGCGCGCGCCCTCGGCCCTCACGCTGCTTGGACGCAAAGGTGGCACCTCGAGGGCGTCCAGCGAGACCGCCCGCGCTCCCCTCTCTGCAGAGGTGTCGGAGGCAGCTGGCTTCCTCCTTTAGGGGGCGGTGGGGACCTGGTAACAAATCCGTAACTCAGGACCACGCTGCGTTCCGCCAGCCCCCACCCGGGCAAATCTGAGAGGCCCTCAGTCCCAGAAACCAGCGGCGCCGGAGGAAGAACAGTGAGGGCTTGGAGAAGCCAAATGTTCAAGGAGAGAAGCAGGCAGTGTCCCCGCCGTCACCCTCCTGGGCCTTCCGCGCCACGCTGCACCCGGTGTGGACTACCGCATCCCTCAAAATACTCCGGAACTGTAGGCACTGGAGCTGCGAGTAGGGACCCTTCGGGAGCGTGATTCTATCTGAAGCCACCGCGGCTTTGGTTTACTGTTAAAAGCAAATTGTGTAATTTTACCCATTGAAGGCAGAACACTATTTGTTCTCTGCAGAGCCCCCAGAACATGCAGAAGCAATTTGCTTCCCTTGTAAAAGATATTTTGAATGCAATTCAAATAGCATATTTTCTTGCTTATTCTTGGTTTTGCTTAACACATGCCACGGGCTGGAATCGGAAAGCCTGACCCTCCTGTTTGCAACTGAGGAATTTTCTTTGTTTTTGCCCTCTTGAAGTAAGGGTTTGGAACCTCTAGCGTCCTGGTTGTTTGTTTTACGAGATTTATCTTTTAACTGATTATCAAGCAGCTTGGCGGTTTTGCTCAGGCACCATATCTTGTGAGCCGGAGTGAATTAGGGAGAGCCCTGGCCTTGGGTGCCCGCCCCGAGGCTGGGGAGCTCGCCCTAGCCCTGCCTTTGCACCCTCACAGCCTTGCACAAAGCAGGAAATAAATGTTTTCTGGCTGTTTTCTGCTGGCAGGGCTGAGCCAGCCAGCCCCTGACCCTGGGAAGGTCCTGAGGCCTCGCACCCCCCTGCCCAGTCTGTTTGGAGGAATGCCCCACACCGTTCTCCCTCCGACTGCGGACTGAGGGACCAGGACTGCCCTCGGGCAACGGGAACCCAGGGAACCGGGGAGGGGGGGTGACATCGCTCCCCAGCTGCCCCCGCCGCATTCGCACGGGCGGCCCTCCTGCCGCCGCCGCCGCCGCCGGTGCCTTCTGAACCCGGGTCTGCTCTCCCGGGTGTTGTTTGAGGACTGCCAGGTGTTTATCTTTGGGTTTTTACTCCCTTTTCTTCCCTTAGGGGCCCTCAGGATGCTTTAAGAATAAATAAGGCTTTAAGAGCTGGTCTTGAAGCACTTAGTTGCAGACTCCTCCTTTCTAGATCTGGTGAAATGCAGACAGGGGCGGCACAAAACGGTTCCGGGAGCCTCAGAAGCCCGCCAATCAGCAAGGTTTTGTCCTATCCGAGAACTTGTGCTCCATTTGCTCTCTGCTGTACACCATTTGAGTTTGGAGTTCCAGAACATTCTGTCAGCAGTTCCTGGTGTGAACTTCGGAGAAATGACCTAATCATGCCTCAGTCCCTCATCTGTGTGGAATTTTCACATGACTGGGTTCCCCCAAACCTGACCCCAGAGTTGAAAAAGCAACATTTATTTTTGCTGACGGTTTCTTTGGTGGGGTCAGAAATATGGGTTATAATCACACATGATTCAGTAAAGCTTTTAAAAAATTATCTTTTCAGCATTTCTTTTCCCCCAAAGTTTTCCTGCTTATAACTCTAGCCTGCTCTCTTCTATCCCCTTTCATTCCCTCCTTCCTCCCCTTTCTACAGGCTCAGAACTAAAGGAGAAATACAATAAGTGTGTCCTTATAAATGGGAAAAATCAAAAATGCTCTTTCTAAGGAGTTAGCAGAACGTGGCTTAGATCCCAGCCAGGCTGGAGCTGCTTATTCCCTCCCACCTCACCTCTATTAGTTACTGATTGCTGCATAACAGATCACCCCCAAACCTAACAGTAAACATTTATTATTTCACACAGTTGCTGTGGGTCAGGAAATCAGGGGAGGCTCAGGGTCAGCCAGGGCTGCATTTCCTGCAGGCTTCATGGGGGCCAGAGGGTCTTGCTGATGTACCCGGCCTGCCAGCACTAGGTGTGGGCAGGAGGGCTGCCTGGGCATCCTCACAACGTGGCAGCTGGTTTCCCCCAGGGTGACATCTAGGTAGCAGCTGCAGAGCCTTCCATAGCTCAGCCTTGGAAGTCACACGATCATTTCCAAATGGGTTTCAGGGGCCAGTTCTCTTTGTTGTAGGAGGAAACTATTCAGTGGCATGTATACCAAGAGGCTGACTACCACACTGCTACAGGGAACGGGTCCATGCTGTCCTCGGAACAAAGAACTGGCAAGAGGGGGAGGAAATGAGCATGGTGTATGCCAGCAAGAGCGACAGGGAGAGAAGCCGGGCATCCCTCGGAGACTATGAGAGGAGGAGTCACAGACACCTGGGGGAACATTCCAGGTGCTGTGGTGAGCCAATGTAAAGGCTTCAAGGCCCAGGGCTCCTGGGGCATCTGAGGGACATCCTTTTGGCCATTTGTACACCTTCTGTGAAATGTCTGTCTCATAGATGATAGATCAGACCAAAACAATCAGTAAGAGCCTGGAGTATTTGAGCATGCAAACATTAGCCACACTGGTGTGGGATGCGGGTGATCACAGGCCAGCCACTGCCACTGGGCTTTGTGCGGAGTGGGGACACACGCATACCAGTGCAATGGGATATCCTTGTTTATTCTTTCTCAGTTGGGAAAATCCTCACCTGAGTCGCATGCCCTTCTGCTTGACCAGCAGCAAGCAGGTAAAACAGTCCAAGTACAAAACAAGATAGATAGAAAAACTTATCAAACAGGACACTCCATTTCCCTCCACTCTCCTTGCCAGTTGGCTTTGGCCTCCCTGAGTTCACACAAACAGCTCTGCCAGGGGCAGCCAGGACCCCCAGGCTGTGGAAGCCAAGGGACATTCCTGTGTTCCTCTCACTCAGCCTCTCTGCAGCACTGCATCCTGGACCACCCGTCTCTGAAAACAGTTTCCCTCCACTCACGATGCCAGGCACTCCTGTTGCCCCTGCTGCCCTTGGCGACTCTGCTTCTCCACTTGGCAGTGATGTTGTGCATGGTCCTAGGCCCGCTGGCTTCACACCCCACACTCTCCAGCCGAGTCATCTCCAGGCTCGTGGCCTCAGCTGCCACCTGTATGCCTGGCAGCTCCTACCTTTGTATCTCCAACCTGTCCCATTCCCCTGTCCTCTAACCTGTGTTTCCAACCCTCTCCTTGCATTTCCACTTGGCTGTGCCAGGGGCACCTCAAACTCAAGTCACCCAAACTTGGCCTCCTGATTTACATGCCCTCACCCTGGCCCTGCCTCCAACCCTGTCTTTTCCCTGAATTCCCTCCTCACCCAGTGGCACTGCCATCCAGGTAGCCCCACAAGACAGAAACCTAGGTGCCATCCTTAACACCTCCTTGTCCACCTGCTGCCATGTCCCAGTGGTTTTAATTTCTGAATGCCTTCTGCTTCTGTCTACATTGCCATCAGCCTAACCCAAGATAATATCATCTTCATCTTCTGCTTAGGTAAGAGCTTCCATCCAGCCTGCCCATTCCTACCTCACCCAGCTCCAGTCTGCTCTCCACACATAAGGAAAGACCTTTCAAGCCCGAGGCTAATGACACTGCCACCCCATAGCTTACTAGTGTGTCCCCATCAGAGACTGAAACCTTTCTGTTACCTAAGGAACCTGACCCCACCCAATGTCCAGCCCCATTCTGCTCCATGCTGTCCTAGATCTTCCTTTCCAGACATTCTGTTCTTTCCTTGCTGCAAAAATACAGCCAGCACCTAAGTGTCCATCAGTAGATTAATGGATAAAGAAGTGGTACATATACACAATGGAATATTATTCAGCCATAAGAAGAAAATAAATCCTCCCATTTGCAACAAGATGGATGGAGCTAGAGGGTATTATGCTCAGTGAAATAACCCAGGTGGAGAAAGACAAGTATCAAATGACTTCACTCATCTGTGGAGCATAAGAACAAAGAAAAAACTGAAGGAACAAAACAGCAGCATTAGATAGAAAAACTTATCAAACAGGACACTCCATTTCCCTCCACTCTCCTTGCCAGTTGGCTTTGGCCTCCCTGAGTTCACACAAACAGCTCTGCCAGGGGCAGCCAGGACCCCCAGGCTGTGGAAGCCAAGGGACATTCCTGTGTTCCTCTCACTCAGCCTCTCTGCAGCACTGCATCCTGGACCACCCGTCTCTGAAAACAGTTTCCCTCCACTCACGATGCCAGGCACTCCTGTTGCCCCTGCTGCCCTTGGCGACTCTGCTTCTCCACTTGGCAGTGATGTTGTGCATGGTCCTAGGCCCGCTGGCTTCACACCCCACACTCTCCAGCCGAGTCATCTCCAGGCTCGTGGCCTCAGCTGCCACCTGTATGCCTGGCAGCTCCTACCTTTGTATCTCCAACCTGTCCCATTCCCCTGTCCTCTAACCTGTGTTTCCAACCCTCTCCTTGCATTTCCACTTGGCTGTGCCAGGGGCACCTCAAACTCAAGTCACCCAAACTTGGCCTCCTGATTTACATGCCCTCACCCTGGCCCTGCCTCCAACCCTGTCTTTTCCCTGAATTCCCTCCTCACCCAGTGGCACTGCCATCCAGGTAGCCCCACAAGACAGAAACCTAGGTGCCATCCTTAACACCTCCTTGTCCACCTGCTGCCATGTCCCAGTGGTTTTAATTTCTGAATGCCTTCTGCTTCTGTCTACATTGCCATCAGCCTAACCCAAGATAATATCATCTTCATCTTCTGCTTAGGTAAGAGCTTCCATCCAGCCTGCCCATTCCTACCTCACCCAGCTCCAGTCTGCTCTCCACACATAAGGAAAGACCTTTCAAGCCCGAGGCTAATGACACTGCCACCCCATAGCTTACTAGTGTGTCCCCATCAGAGACTGAAACCTTTCTGTTACCTAAGGAACCTGACCCCACCCAATGTCCAGCCCCATTCTGCTCCATGCTGTCCTAGATCTTCCTTTCCAGACATTCTGTTCTTTCCTTGCTGCAAAAATACAGCCAGCACCTAAGTGTCCATCAGTAGATTAATGGATAAAGAAGTGGTACATATACACAATGGAATATTATTCAGCCATAAGAAGAAAA